TATAGAAACCATATATTTTTAATTCAGCGTATAATAAGCTATCATTTGGCGCTTAAAATTACATTTCCAACCGAGGTTTAATATTTTTCACATCAAAATATATCGTTTCGGGTGGAAAGACCTTCAATTGTTCTCTGAACAATTGGTTTTTAATTTGTTTTTCTAAATTAAAGAAATTGAGAGCAAAAAATTTGACTAGTATGTTGACATGTCTGTAGATCTTATATTGCTGACCGACTTTGATGTGTATAGCTTGAATTCTCTCTGTGTTTTATAGTTTTTCAACATCTTGTTTTTGCTGAATGTTTTAGCTGTGTACAGTTTCTCTTTATCGATCATAAGTTTTAGCAAAACACAAAGGATACAGTCAGCATTAGAAGTGTGGAAGTTGACTGAAGATTCATCATGACAGATTTGACTTTCTTGTAGATCTTTTCTGGCCAAGTATTTTTATTAGTCCCCTACCGACGAAGTCGAAGGGAACTTTAGGTTTGCACTCTGTCCGTCTGTCTGTCCGTCCGTCCGTCCGTCTGTCCATCCGTCAGTCCGGCAAATGAGTTTTCCAGACTTTTTTTCTTCATGCTTGAAGATATTGATCTGATATTTGGTGTATTGTTTTATCATGACAAGTTACAGGTCAAATTCGATTTTCACGATTTTAGCTTTTCTCCTTGTTCAGTTAAAGCCCTTTCCCTAGAATTAAATTTTTGATGAAATACTTATTATATACTAGATTTCTGTTCAAAGGGAATTAACTCATTTTTTAACTTTCCCTAGAATTAAATTTTTGATGAAATACTTATTAATTACTAGATTTCTGTTCAAAGGGAAAAACTCATTTTTTTTAAAAAGATTTGTAAAAGACATTGTATTAACTTAAGATAAATGATATTTTGTATTTTTTCCTTTTCTTTGGTAAATTATTTCAAGAATTTAGTGGTAGGTTTGCTCCATTACAATGAACTTTTAACCGGTAGGGGACTATGTATTGCCATGCAATACTCACAGAATGCTTGTTGTATACAGGTTTTTCTCGATTCATTGCAGTTTCAAGATTACCTTTAGTTAGACTTAGAGTAACAGTCGTCATTTAAGAGCATAATAAAATTGAGAATGGAAATGGGGAATGTGTCAAAGAGACAACAACCCAACCAAAGAGCAGAAAACAGCCCAAGGCCACCAATGGGTCTTAAACACAGCGAGAAAATCCCACGCGCATAATGCGCATGAATATGGAGTCAATAGACAATTTCGGTCATGATGGAAATTTTTGATATTAAATTTTCCATCTATCTATAAAAGTTTTCAATACAAATAACTTAGATACTAGTATGCTAAATTACCTTCTATCCGAGGTCACAAGGGTGCTGTATGATTCACCTGGTATGTTACCTTCTATCCGAGGTCCCAAGGGTGCTGTTTGATTCACCTGGTATGTTACCTTCTATCCGAGGTCCCAAGGGTGCTGTATGATTCACCTGGTATGTTTGCGTAAAATTGATACAATAAAATAATCAATTAACCTGGTGTGATAGTATTGAATCAATGTCATAAAATTTCAAGCAAAAACGCAAAATCAAATTTTTATTCAACAGTGTTCTTTATTCTTTATTGTAGTGTATTTATGTCCCTTCAGTTATTTTCCTTTTATTTTATTTAATTATCATAAGAATGATAAGTTTTGGTTCCAATTTGCCCATTAATTTCAGAGAACCAGTCCTGTACGCCAGGCCAACAAAAAAAATGGGTAAAAATAGTCGTTTAAAGTCATTTGAAGTATTTTTGTGATGTTCTATCTAAAATAGTTTTCAATTAAAATAACTGTAAAATTTGCTAAAAGCTGACATTAAATTTCTGTTCTGAAAATTTTAAGATAGATCAACACGTACCGACCATAATATACCGGTAAATAAAGCCAAGAACTATCGTTTTAACTTCAGTGTTTTATTTTTACCTGTACCAACCATGATTTTTATCATGTGGCAACATAATATGGGCTTTTTACAGAATATATGCTTTGCATTATGACTGTTAAGTTTAATAATATTTGATTACGCAGTTTCAAAGGGAAATATTTTAGACAGACAATGTACAAAATGATGACGATGACGAACGCCCAGTGTTTGTATAATATCATACAGCTCTTTTAAGAGTCAGGTGAGTTTTAAGTAAAGATCTTTGAATCATGATCAGTAAGATTTGTTTTACAGTTTGTCCTCAACATTAAAAAAAATGATGATTGCTAGCATTTTCCACGATATGGGAATGGCTACTATAGACAACTGTGACGATATTGACCACTTACCCTCTTGTTGTAAACCTATATAAGTATATGCCTGGGAAAACAGCCTTAGTACTTATTTCGAATGATTTAAAGTTTCATGAACACTAAATACAATCAAAAATAACAATCATGTTTTAAGTCCTAACCGAACAGGAGACAACGTGGCTGATGATTAACTGAAATACACATGAGTTAAATCATGTCAGTAAATTACTTCTGTTCTTAAAAGGAATTTGATATTATAGTTGAAAGAAAAAATTACATTTTTAGTTTCAAAATTTCGGAATTTTGTCACAAGGGATCAAAACATTGATGATTGCTAGGCATTTTCCAACTACACGAGGATGGCTACTTAAGTCTTAGATAACGATTTTGACCCCACAGCTTTCACTAAAGATCTATATAACAGTTAATATTAGTCTGAACCCAAATATGTATGGTTGCTAGGTACTTTTATATCAAGTAAGGGTCGTTGATAAGAACTTTTGACATGACCTTGACCTCTGGCATTTAACCTTGTTACCAAATAAAAGCAATAATCGTTCTGAACATTTTTTCTATTCAAGGTATGGGTATATTTGTAACCATTTTTGACAAAATTTAATAAAAAGACACAAAATCAAGGTCATCAATAACCTTTTACCTTTGGGTTCAAACTTAAGGTCATTGAATGTGCAACATTATTCAACTGATTTTCATCCTATACCTGTCATAGTTAATGAGATATTTTAAGAACAAGGTTAAAAAAATTACAAAATAACAACAATTTCACTTTTAGGTTCCCTTAGCAACCACCCTAGCAACATGAATCTCAATCTTTTAGTTACAAATTATTACTACGCAAAAGTGTTAGTTTACATTAATAACTTCAATGTACATGGGTGTGGATGCAAAAGTGTGTAATTAGTTCATGCTAAATGCCTATAATTTGCCTTCTTGAATACAATGAAAACTCCCTTATTTTAATCAATGTTGCCACCTTCTCCCATTTTCATTAGATTTTTTTATCTTTTATCTACCTAATTAAATGTTATATTTTAATGAACAAATGTTACAATATTCATGATTGAAATACTAGTATGTGCATGATAACTGCCTGAAAATCGTATTTTTCTACCTTAGAAAATGCAATTTTGAGCCAAAATCCAAGGGGACCCGTGACCATGGCAAGGGGACATAGACACACGTTTTGCCAATATATTTCTTATATGTTTGTCAATAGCTACCCACAAACAAAATTTCAAGAAACTTTGAGACTATGCGTGCCGCAACTTGGTTGGTAGTTACATAGAATTGCTGTTAAATTGTCGCTTACACTAATGCAAAATGTGTTTTTGTTAGATGTTGATGAACATAACCATTTTATGTGCATTTAATTGCTTTAATAACACTTTTCTAATTAAATGTGATTTCGTCTGATATTGACATGAACTGATGCGCCGTTTGAAGTTATATGAAATTTTGTTTTCTAGCTATACTATACAGTTAAATGGACCAAACGACTCAAATGGATGCTCGAATTTAAAATAGGAATTGCAAATCCGATAGAAAACATTAATTTCCTAATTCTATCTATAACTAACGTCTTGTCTAAAATCACATGCGCCGTATTATGCATGTCTTAACTGAGAAATGCACAATTTTGATAAGTTGCTACGTTTTTCACAAAAATAACTATGTCATTCGGATTGCGGTATAGAAATGCAGACTGCACGAGCATTTTTTAGTTTTTACTTTTCCGTTCGAGTTCTTAAACAGATTACTTTTGTGCTACGCATACTGAAAAAGCATAATGGACCGTCCAATTTTGTAATTGCTTGCCTTTCGCTCAATAAGAAACAACATTAAAACATCAAAACTATCTCTTTTCATCTGTTAATCGAGAAAACGAGTCGACCAAAAGTAAAATTTCGTCTTCGTTTACATATTTTCAAATATAACCAACACCGATCATGCCCAAATCACCAGAACAAAAGATTCTCTCGCCGGACAAACTTACCCACCATGCTGTAGTTAGAACAAGATAATATCCACCCTTAAAGGGGCATTACCTTCGAGATATGAAAAAAATTAAAATATGATTTTTTTTGGTTCAATCATTAATGAAAGTGAAAGTGAAATAATAAATCGCTTTTAGCAGCCAGTTTAGTTAAATTTTGTCAATGCAAGTGAATAATTCTACCTCATTGAAACCGTATTCATTTGACCTTCAATTTAACCCATTAGCTAGAGATTGGTTACGCATGTATAAGTCGTGTTCCGCCATTAATAGGAAAAGAATGTCAACATTGAAAGTGAAACAAAGGTGTAACATTTCGTTGACTGATTCGATCCACAAAAAATCGTTCTTACACAGGTAAAAACGATGATTAACTTATTTTTAACCTATAACAAGAAATCAAACAGACCTAGAAAAGCCCAACTGCACGAGGTCGCTATCTTTTGTTAGTTATGTTTATGTTTATATCGGGTTATGTGACCGTCGGCAGTCTTCGGAGGTCATCTCGATAGTTAATTAGATGGCGTCTAGACTAAAATACACACGAAATGATGATAAATATTATCGAGCCAATGCTTTGTTAATTGTTTGTTTCAGATTTATTGTATTTGGATAAACATTTTTATATGTTATAAATAAAATATGAGAATTCGAGTCAAAAATTTTTGAAAGGAAAAGTTCATTGTTCTAAAATATAATAAATGTATCTCTTTTCAGATGATGTTACTAATTGTTGTATCCTTGTTTGTTGCTTGGTTGACGTATCGATGGTTTCGAAATACCAAAAGTATCGATAATTTCCATAATCGATACATATTTATAACAGGTTGCGATTCTGGTTTCGGTAATATGTTAGCAAAGAGACTAGATGAACTGGGATTTAATGTTTTTGCAGGATGTTTAACACAATCTGGAAAAGAACAATTGAAGCGTCAAACAACCGACAGGGTAAAAGTCATACCAATCGATGTTTCCAAGACGGAAAGTATTCAGAAAGCATTTGATACAGTAAAATCGTTACTGCCTAATGATACAGGTATTTACCGAAGATATAATAGTACATTTGTCAAACAGCTATAATTTTTATATCGAGGACAGTTTCGTTCAATTTTTATTAAGAAAATTTAAAAGCAGTCTTCAATAAAGATCGGTAACGAAAAATATTTGTTTATGCCTGGAACATTTGCAATTTTGGGGATTTTATATACCTAAATTTGGACACTTGAACTTGTGATAGTGTAGGTGATAAGAAGGATGAAATTAATTTTTAAACATTTTGAATCCTTAGAAAAATAAAAATAAGTAGATGTGATTTGATTGCCAATGATATACCGCTCAATCAGAGACCAAATGAAGGTGGGTGTTTGCATATTAAGAAACTGTAAATCACCGTAGGGCCTTCGAAAATGAGTAAAGCCTCTTAACATGTAGTACGCTCTTAAGGCCTCGACATGACAAGCCTTGAAGAAAGTCAAAAGAGGGAACCAACGACCTACTTTATGCTAAAACAATAAACAAAAACAGATATGAAAGTCAGCAACCAACGACAATCTCGTTGAATTCCAGGGTTCTGAATTGGGACAGGCACATACCGAATGTTAACCGCTTTACAACTTATACATTAGTCATGTGTCAGTGACGAGTTAATAATGTTCATTTGATTCATTTACTAGATAATTCAAGACTCATAAATTAACTTAAGTATGCCCTCTGTTCTACAGGGCTGATTTGCATAAAACTACTTAAGTTAAGATTTGTTCCGAACGGACGGATTTTTGAGAGAGAGAGAGAGAGAGAGAGAGAGAGAGAGAGAGAGAGAGGCTTAATACAAAGCGGATGAAGAAGTTATGTATCCAATTTACTTTTACTTTATTTGTTTATTGATGATATTTTGTATGTTGTTTGTCATAAGCTGTAAGCTTTACGACAATAAAGATAATTATTATTATTATATTCCAAACGATTATCTGTTAATTAGCAAACAAATTCATAAACAAAAGAGCTGTTTACTATGTCACAGGTTTGTGGAGTATTGTCAACAATGCAGGAATAGTCGGTACCATAGGACCTGTGCAATGGTTAACGAGAGAAGACTATAGGTCCACGTTTGAAATCAATACTTTAGGTATTGTTGAAACTACACGAATATTTCTTCCCCTAGTATTAAAAGAAAAGGGCAGAATAGTAAATATTACAAGCATGATGGGTAGAATTGCAGCGGCTAATTCGACTTACGTCGTGTCCAAATTTGCAGCAGAGGGATATTTAGATGTTTTAAGGTAGGTATAACAAGCCTTAATCAAATATAGAAAAACAGAACTCAGATAAAAAGGACTTTTTTCATATTGAAGAATAGGTTATTTACATTGTTCAATTAGAAAACTGCTTGTTATGATACATAAAGTAATATAATATTTATTTTAAAGTTCATCACTGAAAGTAACAAGCAAAAGACTTTATGTTTTTTTTAACATAAGAGACTATTTTTTTTCGAAAAAATGCAAAAAACTATTTAAATCCATTGTTTTCATCATGTGTGTGATATGAGCTTCGAAGTACATTATTTCGTAATTCTGAAGGTATTATTAAAAAGATTACAGAAGACTTAAACTATGATAAATTTTAGCAGATTTTTAAAACTGAATCCATCTCCTTAAAACAAGGATAGACGGGACTCTAGTTATTTCTGCTGTAAAATGTGCATTACCGCTAAGACACAAACTAGTTAGCTTTTGTTTATGAATTTCTACGTTTTAAAATTAATACAATAACCTGTTAGTTTGAAATAAGGTATATATCAAAATTGATTTCGACAACGGCGTTTAGCACAAAGTAGCATTTCGAGATAAAGAACAGAAAATTATGAAAAAATCTAAAATACCATTTAGACTTTTTTAATATTCATATTGTACTAGATTTCTTGACCTTCCGATTTTAAAACTTTTCACTGAAACAAATATGGAATTTATTAATTTCATATATGTTATCAATAAATTAACATACATATATGTTAAGCATTTGATTTATTATGATTTTGTGTAACAGTTTGGACACGGGACGCCATGGTTAATTCACAGATTGTAATGGTATATATGAACATAAGCATGTTTGGTATCATTAAAAAGACAATTGCCATAGGCGGATCCAGGGGAGGGGGAAAAATTTGGTTGATTATATAGGGAATCACTGAAGCGTGACTGGCGCGCCCCCCCCCCCTTTTAGGTCAGTCAGGCCCCCCTTACAAACAGTTCTGGATCCGCCACTGAATTATTTGCATAAAAGATTTATTTATCACAAACACATAGAGACCTGTAAATAAATCTACAAGTCCACATAACTTTCATACATTAAAAAAAAATAATAAAATGTACCATTTCTATTCTTATTGTAGACGTGAACTATATAAGAGGGGTGTTTCAGTGCATATTTTAGAACCAGGTTTTTTCCGGACTAGTATAACAGATATTGAAACTGCATGTAAATCTGTCGACGGTACATTCAGAAAAACATCTGGAGAAATGCAAAAATATTATGGAGAGAGCTATCTAAATACCAGTACGTATTCCTTTATTCATTTGATAGTGTCTAAAATACATTATAGTCGTTGTTTATTCTTTTGTCATAATCAGACCGTTGTTTTCCCCCGTTTGAATTGTTTCACATTTGGTCATTTCAGGGCCTTTTATAACTGACTATGCGATGTGGGCTTTTCTCATTGTTGAAGACCCGTACAATGACCTAAATATGATGCTTAAATTCACGTCATTTGGACCCTGTTGGATATTGTCTCATTGGCAATCAATATTTTACATTGTGCAATATTTTCAAACCAAACAAAAGTCTTCCTGCATGTAACCATACATTCCAGATGTGCTTTCAGTAGTACTCTTCTTTAAAAACATTTGATTAAAAAATAGAAAATACCTCAAACGAGAGGAATTGGGGATATGATTGTGATTATGACAAGCAGAATGTACCAGTGGTCATCTTTTCCTTAATGGTCAACCAAATCAAGCTTTTAAATATTAAGACTCCATCTTTACCATTAGAATTCCTTGGCTTCCTCGCTAGTAAATAGTAACCCTTTATAAAAGTAATCATTAAAGTAACACATAGCCTGAAACATCGTGTCAACTTGGATTTGTTTATGCCATTCTGTTGAAATGTTCCTACATAAAAAGGGAAGTTCACAATGGACAAATTGAAACCATCTCTTTAGTTATGATAGTGTGTTCTCAACTGACCCTAATTGTAACTCAAGATATGACGAAGACCAGTTGCATTTGCTGTATAAAGGATAACAAGAACACATATGACTTAAATGTACAAATCAGAGTTGTGCGCATGTACAGCTGGTTTTACCACACCGCATTTTGAGCCTGTACCAAGTCAAGCTGTCTGGACAAAGGGTTTGTTGTTTTTTGTCATTATCAATGCGTTAATTTTTGTCTATTTCCTCGAAGTAATTGGTTGTTGGTAGTCTATTTTCACCTGTCCATTTTTTTGGAAATACCTGTTATTTATAATATACATATCATATATATAGAGTCTATAAGAATCTACCAACCAGTAAACTTAATAGGTATTGGATCATCAAAATTGACAATACTACACAAACAGAGAAAATTATATGAGTCTAAAGATTGTGTAACAATACCGATAAATAGATGGAAAACAAAACACTAAAAAGTGTTGAATATCATCGCACAAAGATGGAAAAACTGAACAGATGATATAAATTATACAATAATAGCAAATATTTCGGCTCAACAAATGGCCTTCCTCAGTGTTAAAACTTTTAACAATACTGATATATAATGTATAAGGTGTAAACATAGATCAGTAATAATACAGGTAAGTTTTGGTCGATTGATTTTAATCCAAAATCCTGAATATCATAATATAAACATTGGACTGTAAATTTATTTATTTCTTTCTATTGATTCCATCTGGATGGAGGACACCCAGTGTTTTTATCCAAAACTTCTCCCGATTCTCTCTTTGCTTATTTTGCCATGTACAATCCTGTTCGATCACAAGGATCTTCATGTGATCAAAATATTTCAGATTGTGATCTGGTAACCATGAAGTGTTGGCTGACAGGAATATACGTTTTTTTTTTTGTGAGGTCACTCCTGTGGCCATTAAGGCGTTTGTGAAATGGCTGCATAGATTCACCAACATATTGGAGACCACATATAGGACACTCAAGAACGTAAATCACGTTTGAGCTTTGCAGTTGACATTGCAGAAGATCTTGTATGTCTTTTCTGTGGTCTTACTGTGAAATGTTGATGAATGCTGCAATTGGTTGCAACATTTGCAGCGCTTATCCCCACAAGGCTGGCAATTACCTACAGTATGGTTAGGTTTGGAAAGGTCAGCACGGACAAGTATATTTCTCAGGCTGTTAGGTTGTTTGAAGGCAATCATGGGAGGCTCAGGAAAGATTTTGGATAGCTTAGAATGTTTCTCGATTGCTGTCCAATTATCACGAATGGTCTTGAAACTATTTCTCAGGCATGGATGGAAGGTGAGCACACATGGGATTCTTTTACTTTTCTGTTTTTCTTTGTAAGTTAGCAGACTGCTTCTGGGGATGGATTCTGCTTTTCGAAAACTATTTTTGATGTTTTTGTGTTTATATCCCCTTCTTTTCAAATGTCCTTTGAACTGCCCCAGACGTTGTTTTGCAGTGTCTTCAGAGGAGCAGATTCGCCTTATTCTGAGAGCTTGGCTGTATGGAATGCTCTTCGTGCAGTGTGGAGGATGGCAACTTTCAGGCGACAAGTATTGATGAGTATCTGTAGGTTTATTGATTGCCTTCAAACAACCTAACAGCCTGAGAAATATACTTGTCCGTGCTGACCTTTCCAAACCTAACCATACTGTAGGTAATTGCCAGCCTTGTAGGGATAAGCGCTGCAAATGTTGCAACAAATTTCAGCATTCATCAACATTTCACAGTAAGACCACAGAAAAGACATACAAGATCTTCTGCAATGTCAACTGCAAAAGCTCAAACGTGAGTTACGTTCTTGAGTGTCCTATATGTGGTCTCCAATATGTTGGTGAATCTATGCAGCCATTTCACAAACGCCTTAATGGCCACAGGAGTGACCTCACAAAAAAACCGTATATTCCTGTCAGCCAACATTTCAGGTTACCAGATCACAATCTGAAAGATTTTGATCACATGAAGATCCTTGTGATCGAACAGGATTGTACATGGCAAAATAGGCAAAGAGAGAATCGGGAGAAGTTTTGGATAAAAACACTGGGTGTCCTCCATCCAGATGGAATCAATAGAAAGAAATAATTAAATTTACAGTCTAATGTTTATATTATGATATTCAGGATTTTGGATTAAAATCAATCGACCAAAACTTACCTGTATTATTACTGATCTATGTTTACACCTTATACATTATACATCAGTATTGTTAAATCTTTTAACACTGAGGTAGGCCATTTGTTGAGCCGAAATATTTGCTATTATTGTATAATTTATATCATCTGTTCAGTTTTTCCATCTTTGTGCGATGATATTCAACACTTATTAGTGTTTTGTTTTCCATCTATTTATCGGTATTGTTACACAATCTTTTAGACTCATATATATATATATATATATATATATATATATAAACGCCTAAAAAGTGTACACAACAACACCTATATATATCTATATGCTGCCATTGCCAAATAAATTGATCACCAGTACAAAATGGATATTAATGTTAATTTAATACCAAACAGAAAACAATAAATTTGTGGAAAAGATGGTATACCACAAACATGAGGTACAAAAATGTGTACACCATATCCGGATTTCGACAATTAATGTCTCTTCATATGTACAAGTCTAAATTGAAAACAATGTTCAAACCTATGATTGCGTCGGATAAAAACCGCAATTTTTATACGTGTGCATGTAAAACAAATTTCTAGGTAGAGAGGTCTAAATACAGCACAAACAACATTTTCCAAAAGACCAAAAAAAGTGAAAAAGTATATTTTAACAAAACGCATTTGACTAACAGGTTGAACAACGGATGTTTTTAAACCCTGCTGACTGCCATTGGCGATTGCCAAATAAATTGATCACCAGATGTAATATATATATGTATATATATATATATATATATGAATAAGTCTAAATTGAAAACAACGTTCAAACCTATGATTGCGTTGGATAAAAACAGCAAGTTTAATAAGTGTGCATGAAAAACAAATTTCTTGGTAGAGGGGTTTGTACAGCACAAACAACATTTTCCAAAATACCAAAAAAGTGAAAAAGTATATTTAAACAAAACGTATTTGACTAACAGGTCGAACAACGGATATATATAAACTTTTTTTCTTTCAGTTAAAGATGAAATTAAAGACTTTTTACAAAGGATTGTATCACCCCACACGAATTTAGTCGTTGATGCTTATGTCCACGCACTGACATCTAAATATCCAAAATATCGTTACATAGTTGGCAAAGATGCCAAGTTTACCTTCAGACTTCTGTGGAATCTACCAGAATGGGCTTCGGACTACATACTTACAAGAAAGGTTAAAATACCACAGGCAGAACAAGACCTCTGATCACTATCATAATACACAACTTTGGGCTGAATTAATCTGTCAGTACGTTTTTATTATCCTTTTATAACTATTGTGACTTCACTTTCTCTGAATATTTAAATGAAATTGAGAATGGAAACGGGGAATGTGTCAAAGAGCAGAAAACAGCCCAAGGCCACCAAAGACTGGTTAATTTTCTTAAATACATGTCAAGATGGTAGCCGAAAATACAGCATCGATACGACATACTGTCATTGTTTTGTTTTCCCTCGATAAACTCAGAGACTCGGAATAATTCGGATTATTTCTGACTCTATTTGACAAATTACCCATATCCGGAAACAAAATGTATACCACAAGTAACCGTATACCTGTGTTATCTGTGTTAATTTCAGAAAATAAAGAATTTATTATTGATATTGTTATAATTATATGTAAAAAAGTGAAGCTAAAATGACTAGAAATTAAATCTGAGTAAGCTTAGCAACCTGAACATATCATTAAAATACTTTGAATTGTAACAATTAAATTAGTGTAACTTCAATGTACGCAGTTCAGTCTGTGCTATAATTTTAGGCATGCCATGATTTTATTAAAAAATTTCTAAACATGTTTCACTTCAATCTATTTTTTTCTGTAAGCTTTGGTCCTCGTTTCACAAAAATATCTGACAACTAAAATTGATCGTAAGTCATGAACAGCACAGTATACTGACGATCAGTTTTAGTTGTAAGATTTTTTTTTTGTGAAACAAACAAAAGGGGTGGTAATGTCAACCCGTCAGTAAAGCTCCCAATACCATGTGTTGTAAAATTGACGCGAGTCTTTTCATTTATGGGGAATTTGCACAATATTAATCACTTGAACTAGTTTGATCGGTTTCTCTTTAACTGACATGATAAACGAAATAAAGTGGAACTTAGGTGTATTCTTGAAACTTAGTTTAAAGGGATATTTATTACTCAATTTACATAGTTTCATGTTCGTGTTGAAAATTCCGCCAATCTACATCTTGAACTCTTACGCTTGAGTTATCGTTCTTTGAAACATTATCGCTTGACCTTTTATTATTGGAATGTATATGCTCGTTGTAAAGTTGTATTTAATTATTTCTGAATTGCATGATATGGTAATATCCTATGATGAAATTTAAAGATGTTATTATTGTTTTACTTTGTTTTTACGTTGTCAATCAACGGATGAAAAACAAAACGGTAAGAAGAGTTTAGATTGCCCAGAGCTCGGAGTTTAAATTTTGAGCTCATCAATTTTTTGGTTAACAGCTCTTCATCTATTTAATAAGCTTTCGATTTTCAAATGATTTGGCCTCGAGCATTACTGAAGAGACATTGATTGTCAAAATGCGCATCTTGTACAGCAAAATTGGTACCGTTTATGTTATTACGTTGTCAATCAACGGATGAAAAACAAAACGGTAAGAAGAGTTTAGATTGCCCAGAGCTCGGACGTTAAACTTTGAGCATTTCACCATTTTGGAAAATTGGGTTAATTAATAGATAAAAGAATTAATATAAGGTTAACAGTTTTAGTAAATAATCATTTCCTATATTCTTCTATATTTTTAAGTCATATAAAGCGATGAAGTTCGCGACTTGAAAATAAACGGAATCTAGGTTTTATATTGAAAGTTATTTTAGAGTCCGGGAATTTGTCCTTAGCTAAAATTGTTATTACTGTTATTTATATATAGTTTATATTTAATACCGGGTTAAGCAAAATTCACTGACACACAGGTTAAATATTTTTATTTTGTATTTTGTCAGCTGCACTAATTTATTTGTTTAATATTCGTGAATATCCATATTATATTGATTGTATATTGATTTTGTATTTTGATATTGTGAATAATTTGCTATCAGATTCTTTTCTCAAAGTATTCAAACCGCTCGGAGGCAAACTTCACGACAGTGGTGGTAGCGATGGGATAGTTGGTAAAGGATATGACAATAATGGAGCTTTACACAAGGCATTTATCAGATTTTCAAAATCAGCTTGGGCATCAGGGATGATTCTCGTTAGGAAGAAAGACGGCTAAGTTCGCTGGTGTGTTGATTACCGGAAATTAAATCAGTTTAGTGTACGGGATGCGTACCCACTTCCAAAAATATCTATGTGCCTTAATTGTCTAGCAAACGCAAGTTAATTTTCAGTCTGTGATCTTCAGTCAGGTTATTGGCAGCTTCGTAGGGCGGAGGAAGATCGTAATAAAACTGCTTTTATAACATGTACGGATTGTATGAGTATATTAAAATGGCCTTTGGTCTTTGCAATGCTCCTAGTACATTTCAAAGGTGTATGGAGTTGATTTTTTTAGGGCTTCAGTGGAAAACATTGCTCATTTATCTAGATGACATTATTATCTATAGTTCCAACGTAGCACTTTTGGCGACTTGATGAAGTTCTGTCAAGATTAGAAAACTCAGGGTTAAAATTGAAACCATCTAAATGTGATTTTTTGAAAAATGAGGTTCTTTACTTAGTACATTTCATGTCCAAGAATGGGGTCCATTCTAATCCCAAAATTGTAGAATCTGTTAAAAATTGGAAGACCCCAAGCAATATAAAGAAGGTTCAGCAGTTTATTGGCCTTTGTAATTACTACAGACAATTCATTTTAAATTAAAATTTAGTGAGGTTGCATCTCTATTCAGCAGACTCACTAGAAAAGATGTTCCTTTTGTATGAAATACAGAATGTCAGACTGCTTTTGAAAATCTGAAAAATGTCTTGTGTAAAGCTCCAATATTGTCATATCCCTTACCAAATATCCCATCGTTGCAACCACTGTGGTGAAATTTTGCTTCCGAGCGGTTTGAATACGTTAAGAAAAGAATATGATGGCAAATTATTCACGAAATCAAAGTACAAAATCAATATAATTTATTTACATGGATATTTACGAATATTAAACAATAAATTAGTACAGCTGACAAAATACAAAATACAAAATAATCAACATGTGTGTCAGTGAATTTTGCCCAACCCGGTATTAAATATTAACTATATATAAATAACAGTAATAACAATTTTAGCTGAGGACAAATTCCCGGACTGTAAAATTACTTTCAATATAAAACCTAGATTCTGTTTATTTTCAAGTCGCGAACTTCATCGCTTTATGACTTAAAAATATATAAGAATATAGGAAATAATTATTTACTAAAAATATTTACCTTATATTATTTCTTTATCTTATATTTAACCCAATTTTCCAAAATGGTGAAATGCTCAAAGTTTAACGTCCGAGCTCTGGGCAATCTAAACTCTTCTTACCGTTTTGTTTTTCATCCATTGATTGACAACGTAATAACATAAACGGTACGATATTTGCTGTACCAGATGCGCATTTCGACAATCAATGTCTCTTTAGTGAGGCTCGAGGCCAAAACATTTGAAAATTCAAAGCTTATTAAATAGATGAAGAGCTATTAACCAAAAAAGACAAAAAAGTATAGCCAAAGCCGGGCAAGGAATCAGAGCTTTGCATGAGGGAGATATATATTCTTTAATTTAAAATATTTTCAATAACACAAAATCCGTATTTGCATGCCAGTACCGAAGTACTGGCTACTGCTAGTGATACCTTCGGGGACTATCAGTCCACCAGCAGAGGCATCGACCCAGTGGTAGTAATAACATTAACGGTACCAATTTGCTGCACCAGATGCGTAAATCACGCCCCGTTTCCCGCTATGCAAATTGTTTCGCGGAATTAATAGCCTTGAAAACAAAGTAAAACTATAATACCTTCTTTCAGTTTCATCATAGAATATTACCTTATCATGCAATTCAGAAATAATTTTATACAACTTTAAACGAGCACATACATTCCTAATTTCCAATAATAAAAAGTCAAAAGATTAATATTTCCAAAGAACGATAACCCAAGCGCAAGAGTTCAAGATGTGTAGATTGGCGGAATTTTCTATATAAATTGAGCAATAAATATCTCTTTAAAGTAAGTTTCAAGAATACACCTAAGTTCCACTTTAGTTCGTTTATCATTTCAGTTAAAGAGAAACCGATCAAACTAGGTCAAATTCCCCATAAATGAAAAGACATTTACAATATTATACCATGCATAATTCATAATAAGTAATTTTTATTGAAATAAAGTCCAGACATTGGACTATCATCAAATGACAATTACAAATGAACATATACTTACAAGTGTTTACAAAATAGAACAAAATTATCAAACAACAATACATTGAACAGAACAATTATCATCACTGATACCACGGCTGTTTGTAAACTCATTATTTCATCTAATATAATGTCTTGTATTTAAGCCGACTGGGAATCGCAGTGTGCATACTTCGGGACCTTTTATGATCTTTTATAGCTGACTATGCGGTGACCTACAGTTGTTATTTTCTGTGTCATTTTGTCTCTTGTGGAGATTTGTATCATAGGCAATCATACCACATCTTCTTATTTTTATATATAAAACAATTTGCAATAAAATATCATTTTTCTACAAATAAATAGACAATAGAAATTCGCTTATTAAGAATTCAGGCATGGAAGCAATTTGAAATCAATACGAAAGAAACGATGCTAACAATTACGCAGTAGAAAAGACCACGAAGTTAGTAAAAATCCCGCAAACTTTAACCAACTTTAGGGTTTAAAATTCGTAAAGGGTTCCACAGAAACATGTCTCTCGTCTGTGATGCCTGCTGTCAGTATAAAGTATAATTTTGACAGTTAAAAAATGAAGTCAATTTATCGGTTAACTACAGAAAAATCAAAAATAAAATTGTTTCTTCTGATGCTATTTCTTTAATATTTTAAAAATGTACTCTGAAAACTGTCTGTTGATCATAAAGAAGCTGCTGGCCAAGTTTCGTAAAATTCCATGAAATTTTGACAAAGTTATTGAAGTGTGAAAAAATACTATTCATCAAAGCATAGCCAAGTTTAAATGCTTAATAATCAATCCCAATCAGAAATTGATCTGAATGAATTATTTCTAAATTAGAAAGTTGAACTGTTACGTATATATAAATTATCATAATAAATTTTTCAAGTTATAAATTTCAAAGTATGATGTACACATCAAGCAAGGACCTATTCTTGTTAAAATTTGGAGGCAGCTGTAGACGCGAGCATTAAATCAACAAAAAGACAATAACACATCTTATCATTTCAAAATATCTTGTTTACATGTAATTAGCAATGGTCATAGGAGCTGCGAACACTTTTATATCATCAGATCACATGAGCAGAGAATGGAGGTTCGGACTAAATTTTTTATGTATATTTGACTACATAATTATGAAAGATTTCATATCTCCTTTATATTTTTGATAAATTAAAAAAAATTATAAACAGAAAATATGATTAATAAAATTTGTTTTCCACCTTGTTGCGGATATAAAAACAAATGGC